ATTTTCTAGACCTTGTATGGGTTTGAGAGAATTTTTCTACAGAGTTTCGTGCTCACCCCTTATCGCTAACAATTTTCAGATTACCCTCTTGAGGAGGAGGACGTAAGGATTGAGGAGCCCGCTACTTGGGAGACTCCACTGGACAGGAGTGTGAATCCCGAGGTGGACGCATAGAGCGACCTCCTTTCCTTTTGTACTAGACTAGGACATTCTTTTGGAACATTGTGTAGTCTAGCTTCTTTTGTTTATTCCATTGCGCTTCTTTAATTAATTTTTGAGATGTAATAGCCATGACTTGGGCTTATTCTTTTGGATAATGTTGTAAATATTCGTGGATGACAAATGAAGTCTTGTTTCTTAAGGGATTATATTAGTGCTCTCATGATATGAATGATTTTAGAATGTAATGCCGTCAGGGTGTGTTTTAGGGTGTTACAAGCATGGTCCTTGCGCAATCAACTTGAACCCTTCAGGATTGTTACGACCCATGTTATGAAATATTTGGCCGTTGGAGGCTATATTCCCTTTGCGTGATGTGGCCTTCTAGACGGTGTGAGCTGTCGCTGTCATAGTGTGCAAGAGGGTCACATTGGTGTTAACTCCTATTATGATGTTCCCGAGCAAGGAATCATGAGCTTGGAGGTCTAAGTTGGGGTCACAAGCTAGGAGGTCTGAGCTGAGCTGGGCAACTAGGGACTTAGAGTTCAGTTAGTTCACTCGACCTTAGTTATCTTAAACTGGAACCCAAATTCTGACGTCATCATTTAGGCCCCTATTGGGGGCATGTCTCCGAGCTACTTTTGGGTTGAGAACCTTGGATAATTTTTTGTATCTTCAGTTGTCCCCCAATCTTGAGCCAGGTCTACCTTTCTTGACGTGGATTGGGAATCACTTGCACTTCTGGCTATGGATAAGCTCAGCTTGTATTTACTTGGAATACAGCTTAATATTAACCCTTTAATACTGCTTGTATATGGAGCCAAGTCTAAGGTTTGTGTAACCACCTTAACTTAGGCTTATTGAAAATTTATGAGTTTCAAGAGCTCATCATATGCTTACGAACTAAATAGCTCATCGTATGTTAAATAGCTCATCGTATGTTTATGAGTTTAAGAGCTCATCATATGTTTCTGAGCTAACTAGCTCATCGTATGCTTACGAGCTTAAATGCTCATCTTTTATTTATGAGCTTAAGAGCTCATCATTTTCTTACAAGCTAAAGAGCTCATCATATGTTTATTAGTTGAAGAGATCATCATTTTTTTATTACCTGAATAGCTCATCATATTGTTTATGAGCTAAAGAGCTCATCGTTTATTTATGAGCTAAAGAACTCAACGTATGTTTATAATCTGAAGAGGCCACTATTTGTTAATAATTTTAATAGCTCATCTTGAGTTTATGAGCTAAAGAGCTCATCGTCTGTTTATAATCTGAAAAGCTCATCTTGAGCTTTTGAGCTAAAGAGCTCATCTTGAGTTTATAAGCTTGAGAGCTCATTGTCTGTTATGAGCTGAAGAGTTAATTGTCTATTTATCAACTGAAAAGCTCATTGTATGTCTATGAACTGAAGAGCTCATCTTGAGTTTATGAGCTAAAGAGCTCATCTTGAGTTTATAAGTTTAAGAGTTCATCCTCTGTTTATGAGCTAAAGAGTTCATCGTATGTTTATGAGCATAATAACTCATTGTATATTTATGATCTAAAAATGTAAGACCCCATATTAAAATTAAATAAAGGTACTATTATCTTAAGAGTTCTCCTAAGATGAATAAAATGATGGTAGAAATATCGAATCATTTTTAAAAGATTGATCATGCAGTTTGAGTTTCAGATGAATTAACTTTTAGGTCAAACATTGTTTTCTAATGTTTGTAAGAAATCTTTTTAGGTCAAAATAAGATTTTCATTGAATCCTTAAGGTCGAAAGAACTTGTGATAGGTAATATGGGGTGTATTAAAAGTTAGAAAGTATTTAGAAGTATAAAAATGCATTTTAGAAAGAATTTTCATAGAAAGGATTTTGACACTATCTTAGTATTTCAGCCATAACGTTTTACTCGAAACCCCGATTGAGCTGATTTTTAGAGAGTAGAAACTAGACTTCAAGGGCTACAAAAGTTTATTTCACAAACATTTCCTAAATCGACTTTTAAATAGGTGAAAGCCCTTTCGGAAGTCAGGGAAGAAAGTTGTCACCGTCCGTCCCAAGCACCATCCGAACAGTACTCCCTACCCTAAAATCTTTTTTTTTTTTATTCAAAACAATGAATTTGCACCATCTAGATGCCTAAGCACCGTCCAGATGCTACCCTAAAAACTGGTCCCGCTTAGTTTTAGGGGTTTTCTACATTTTTCTCCCTATAAATAACATAAGGATGTCTTTTTAGCCATGTTTCATCAGTTTTCAATGATAGGTAAAGCAGGGCCCTAGGCAAAATATTCATATTAGGCACTATTAATATTTGTCTATTAATATATTTTATTTTTAATTATTATAATTTTTTATGTTTTAAAAAATTATTTTTAATTTTTTGAAAAATTTGAAAAATTTATCAAGTTTTTATACTCAAGTTTTGACGATAATTTTTTTCAATAGATAATATTGTTAATTGATTCACTCTTAGTTGACTCTAAATAAAATTTTATCAATTTAAGTTTTCAAAAAGTAATTTAATAATAGAATAATTTTAAGATAACAAATAATCATTCTTTACCCATGAATAATTCGTGCATGCATGAAGTACAAACCTTTAATAATATAGAAAATTTAAGTATAAATTATTTGGACTAAAAATTTATATTAAGACAAAAAAAGGAACCAATTTTATAGATTTTCACCACAAGAAATAATTAATATAAATTTTCTATGTGAGTGAGTAAAATAAAACTATGATCACACCCAAAAAATTTAGAAAATTTTAAATCAAGGCTCACACGTATGAGTAATTTTAAACCAAAAAAAATTAGATACTGATTTGAACTATTAAAATTTGAACCCTAAAAATTTGAATCATATCTAAAATAATAAAAATAAAAATAAAAATGACTATTATACTAAAGTGGTAAATTTTATGGAGGCCTCTAAAATTTAAGCTTAATGAAGTGGAGAGTAATTTTGGACCAAATAAAATTAGATACTGATCTGAACTAATAAATTTTGGTCCCTAAAGGGACAAATATTGTAGGGGCCCTCTAAAATTTGGGGCCCTAGGCAGGCAACTTAGTTGCCTAAGGGTTTGGCCGGCCCTTTAGGCAATCCTAGAGAGCGAGAGAGAAGGAGGAACACAAGATTCAAAGAATTCTCACGTTGGAACGGATCAAACACGCTAGGTTTTCACACAAAACTACAAAATCAAGGTAAATGATTCTTCTTGAGTTCTTTCGTTAAGACTTAAGGTATTATCTATGTGTGTCTTCAATCTTCTTGATATTTATATGATAAATATTCATGAGTTCTTGGTTTCTTTATCATTGAAACATAGTTTTGAACAAAATACATGTTTGGGTTCAAAGAATACTTGTTCTTGAATTTCTAAAACCCTAGTTTTGTTAAAAACTTGTTTGGTTATGAAAAATACATGGATTCTTGATTTCTAAATTCCTATTGTTGATTAAATCATGTTTTCATCTAATACTTGTTCTTGTTTCAAGAAATTATGATTTTTGGCAAAACTCTAGAATTTTGAATATCGAAATTGTGAAGGTTTTCTTAATATGATCTCTTGCATATTTTAATTCTTTTATTATTGTTGTGTATTGAGAATTATGCTATTGTAATATTTGAATTGTTAATGAAAATTTTGATTGGTTAAGATTGTGGCTGTTGAAAAAGTTGTCGTTTCATCTCTTGTATTGTTTGTTGTGACAAACTTGAATTTCCTTTGAGAGCTGTCGTAGAGTGTTAGATGTCTGTCTATCCCACTGGGAGTGAGATGGTTGTCTAATACTTATAGTGAATTGTTGTTTGTGAGAGCAACCACTATTGTTCACACAAGTTCGAAGCTGAGTGATGGTATACCTTTCCTGGTAAGGATTTGTCAATGTCGTGGGAAACGGTATACACCTTTCCTAAAGTTGTTTGTGATTTGGCCCTACGGGAGAATGATTAAGGTTTTGTGGTTGTGATCGGTGAATGAGGTTAAAAGGATATGTATACATGGGATAACATGTAAAGTCTTGAGGGCAATATTGTATTTTCATCATATTACCTTACTTGAATATAAATATATAGCCAACCCTATTAGGGTAGTAGGCTATTCTCAAATCCTGCCATGGTATCAAAGCATTAAAGCTCTTCTTGAGGCGAGAGCTCTCTCCTTTTTCTCCTTTTTCTTTCTGTTGCAGCGCCGCCTCCTTTCTCTTCTTGTCTCTTCTTCATCTTTCTACAAATCATGTCTTCTTCCACAACCAGCTTAGCTATTCCTTCTTTATTCTCTTTTCCTATCACCAATATCTCCAACCATGTCTTTATTAAACTAGATTCTGAAAATTATCTTTTATGGTGTGATCAATTTACCCCCATCCTTCTTTGCAATGATCTCATGGGCTATGTTGATGGATCAATCTCTGCACCGCCCAAAACTTTGACTAACAAGGAAAAACAAACCCCAATCCCAAATCCCACATATGTTGAGTGGCGGAAAACAAATCAATTTATTCTCTCATGCCTCAAGGGTACATTATCACCTAGTGCCAGTGCACAAGTCCTAGGTTTATGAACGTCCCGCCAAGTTTGGGACACCTTAGAAACTATTTTCCATCAACAATCTCAAGCCAAACTTGATCTTCTTCGTGATGAATTATAAGGCCTCAGTAAAGGTGTGCTCCACATTAAAGAGTACTTGGCTAGAATCAAATCTCTTGCAGACAATTTGGCTTCCATAAATCATCCTGTGTCTGATTCTGAGTTAGTCACTAGCACCTTGAATGGACTTCCAAATACTATGGAATATTAGTCCTTGGTGTTTGCAATAGAAAATCGTGAACATCTCATTCACTTTGATGATCTTCGGGCATGACTATTAGTTCATGGGCAACATTTGAAGTGCTTCCATTCTCGATCATCCACGCCCATTGCCCCTGCTGGTGCACAATTATCTGAATCTGCTCTAGTAGTCTGTCAATCCAACAATGGTAATCGCTAGAGCATTGATTAAAGACGTGATAATTGCCAAGGTCCACGTCATGACTCCCGTCATGATCATCGACGTGACAACTAATCCTCTTACCCTCGTTATGGCTATGGAAATAACTTTCCCCATAATCAAGCTTCTTCACGTCATAACCAACCTCACTATCAAATTTGCAAAAAGGCTGGTCATACCGCAGATCGCTGTCATTTTCGTTATGCTCGGGATAATCGTACTTTCGATGATCGCTCCACACTTGCACAGAGTTTTGTTGGACTGCATTTATCATCACATGCTTCATCTGACCTAGATATTGATCACATTGAGCCTCACTAGCTTGCCAATTCTGGTGCAACCAGCCATATGACATATAATCTGGCTCTTCTCCGTCAATCTTCACCTTACACAGGCAATGATGGAGTCTATGTTGGCAATGGTAATTCTTTGAACATTTCTCATGATGGTAAATCATATCTATGCACGGGCATACAGTCTTTAGATTTAAAGGATATATTATATGTTCTAGAATTAAAGGAAAATCTTTTGTCTATTGTCAAACTCACAAAAGATAATCATTGTGTGTTTCTCTGTTTTCCGTGGGGCTTTGTTGTTAAGGATATTCACACGGGGAAGACACTCTTGGAGGGTCCAATTAAAGATAATTTATATTCTATTCCAGCACAGCGGGTACTTGAGTTGACTAGTTGGAATATACTCAACAAAGAAACTGTTGGAACAAATACAAATCATGTAGCAGTTCAGTTTGGTGGCTATTCTTCTTCTCCAGCTTCAAGAATAATTTGGCATAGGCGACTTGGTCATCCAGCTCACAAGAGCACTTATCAGCTCAAATCTACTAAGCTGATTCTTTTTCTTGATTCATCTTTGACTCATTATGTATGTGATGTTTGTCAAGTTGGCAAAAGTAAACGTTTGTCATTTAGTTTATCTACTAGACATTGTTCTACTCCTTTTGAATTGGTACATTGTGATATTTGGGGGCCTTCGCCTACTACTTTAGTTACTTGATTTTGTTACTAAATATTATTTGTTTATGATTTTAGTCATTTTTCTTGGATTTATCCCATGAGACGTAGATCCGACAATCTTGCTTGCTTCCAAATTTTTAAAAATATGGGGGAAACTAAATTTGGGCACAAGATTAAATGGTTTCAATGTGATGGAGCTAAAGAACTTGTCGAGGGGACTTTTTGCTCATTTTTACATGACCATGGTATTTCTCTTCATGTTTCATGTCCTCACACACCTGAGTAGAATGGCCGAGCAGAGCGCAAACACCGTCATATTGAAGAAATAGGCCTTGCCTTGTTATATCGGGCTTCTTTGCCTCGCTTTTTATGGCTTGAGCCTTTCTCTACTGCAGTTTATCGTATTAACTAGCTACCTACTCTCGTTCTTGGACATCGTTCCTCCTATGAGCTATTATTTGGTTCCTTGCCGCACTATGATCATTTGCGAGTATTTGGCTGTATTTGTTATCACTTTTTGGGGGCTTATCGCAAGGACAAACTTTCCCCTAAGTCTCAATGGTGTGTTTTCATTGGTTACAATTCAATCCACAAGGGTTATTGTTGTCTAGATCCTAACACAGGTCGAGTATTTATTTCTCACCACATTGTGTTTGATGAGAATGTGTTTCCTTTTGTAGATCATCCTACCTCTAGGTCTTCTAGCATTATCCCCACTCCCAGCACTACTTCTCATATCTCCTTGCCACTTGTTGTGCCTCCTACAATATCTTACCTTCACATGTCCCGACATCACATATACAGTCCAGCAAGTTTGTCAATTCATGCATGCCCCTCGCGATGCTCATTTTTAGGCTGTCAAGCGTATTCTCCAATATTTTAAGGGCACTCTTGGTTATGGTATTCGATTTCTCACATCTTCTTCTCCTAGTCTCTCTTGCTTTGTTGATGCTGACTAGGTTGGTTGTCCTAATACTCGTCGCTCTACTATGGGTCACTGTGTTTTTCTTGGCTCTAATCCTATCTCTTGGAGTACAAAGAAACAAGTGACTGTGGCTCAATCCAGTACAGAGGCCGAATATAATGCTCTCTCTTTTGTTGCTTCTGATTTGTTGTGGATTACATATCTTCTACATGACATTGGCTTTCCTATCACCTCTCCTATCTTTCTTTACTGTGATAACTTGGGTGTGACTCAACTAGCTGCCAATCCTACATAGGGGAAAAAAAGAAAAGAAAAAAAGTAAAAAAATAAAAAAATTGGTAGATATATCGGTACAACCTGTATCGATTCATCGTAGGGATAGAGAGTAATATACCGGTACAAACATCTTTGTACTGGTTCATCGAAGTCAAATTTTTTCAGATTTTAAAAAGAGAGACGACGATTTTTTATTTCCTTTTCCCTCAAAACTCAAACACTCTTCCTCTTATTTATCTCCCAAGCTTTTGAAATACACCACCCTACACTCTAGCCCCCAAATCATCTACCTTCTTCCACTGAAACTTACCGCAAACCCCAAACCCTAACTCCTTTAACAATGGTGGCAAGGAAGTTGTTTGAATCCACCATCCATGAGACACTATCTTGGTTTTGGGCTTTGTTATGCATTATGGCCATGATGGGTGTGTTGCTAATGGGCATGGCCAAGTCTCTTGGGTCTTCAGCGTCGGCTTCTAGGCTTAGAGCTAGTAGATGGGAGAAAGGGAAGGGAAAGGTTACCGAGGGCAGCAACGAGGAGGAGCCCCTAGGCAAGAAAGCGGCGTAGAGTGATATAGGAGTGTACCATTGTTGTGAGGGGAACTACATGTGAGAGAATAGTTGGCAGAAACAGTTTGGGTAAGAGTGTTCTAAATCCAACAACTCATGGGGTGCGGATTGGATTTCTTCTTCGAGTCGGTGACGGGGTACATTCTTTTATTTTGTTGTGAGTTTTGTAATGGCATTAGTTTAGTGAATGGTGAAGGGATGATACTAAGGACTACGGCCTGAGGACTTATTATTGAGGTTACACCCGATAACATCGCCACATACTTGGGATATGTGAGACCTCATCCCAAGGATATAGACTACCCTTTCCGGAGTTTGGTGCTAATAGTCTGACTGAAAATGTTGAGATTATGTATGATGACTTTAGTCAGTTTGATGGATAGTTCGTTCAGGGGTGAATGACTACGGACTATAAGATGATGAATAAGATCTTACACTATACTGTGTACCCCAAGGGAAATAAGAAGAAGCCTAATCTACCTAAGATCATTTTACTACATGAGTTTATGGTGGGTTTGAGGAATGATATTGCTTTATTCATTTGGGGAGTGATGAAGGAGGACGTGTCTACAGTTAGGCCAAAAGGGAACATGCCTTTTGCACACATGGTTACAGTGATGTGTGAAAAGGTCGGAGTGTGGAACACTCAGGTGGATCAGATGAGTCCTTCGAAGAAGAGGCCTATCAGTAGTTGGGGAGAGAGGAAGAGTTTCACTGTGTCAAGAGCCCCTAGAGTGGATAGGTCTTCATATCAGCTAACATCATCGACTGTTGCACCTGTTCGTCCTCTACCAACATCTAGAGCCACCATTCCGCAGAGAATGACCTAGCTAGATGAGACAATGGAAGGTCTGGATTTTAACATTTCTGATATGAGGCAGACATAGGATGGGATGGCTAGGGACTTGGAGTTTTCTTAGGGGATACAACGTCGATTGTTTAAGATTCTTGGCCCTGGTGAGATACTACCTGGAGTCTTTCCACTTTCCGCATCAGCTACCACTACCACCTTTGCACCTGCTGTCCCCCCAGCTACATTAAAGCCACCTCTTGCTTTTGTTTGTGAGCCAAGGGATGTTGATGTTGTCGAGGAGATAAGGAGCAATGAGGATGAGGAGGATGGCAATGTTGAATCTGGTTTAGAGGAGGAGGAGGATGCCTCAAATGAGATTGCTAGATTTAGGCCATTGTGTAGTTTTTGTTGTTTTTAGGAAGATGTCTAGTTGGGATTGTAATAGCTTAGGATAGGAAACCTTTAGTTTTTGTCCTAAGACTGTTACATTTTGATCTTTTGCACCCACTGATATTTGATGTATATATCAACATCTTTTGATTTCATAGTGTTTTAAAATCTTTGTTATGTGTTTGTTGTGTACGGGTTGTGCTGGTTATGTATTGTTAGTTTAATTGTGTGGGGGATTAATGAATGGATGGATGCATGCTTTTCTATAAGTTGTTTGCTAGGGACTAGAAAAACCTAAGTCGGGGGTATGTTGAATACATAATATTTTATATTTTGTGATTTAACCCATCCACTTTATGCATTTGTTAGGTGTTGTCTGTACAAATTATGTCAAGATTTAGGTTGATTATGAGAATTGTGTGTTGTAGGTACAGAGAGGCGAAGAAGGAATGAATTGGAGTTGATTGGATGGCAAGAGGAAGCTTGAAGAAGGAGAGGAGATGAACCAGGAAGCAACAACAGAAGAAACAGGAAAAAAAAAGGTTGTTGTACTGGTACATCAGGCTGCAAAAAGGGGTTGTACCGGTTCATAAATCCTTTGCACCAGTTCATTACCTTTCAGAAGTTCAGCAGAAAAACATTGTACTGGTTTACTTCATCCATTGTACCAGTTCATCAGTTTACATAAGTTTTGCATAAGTATTACAGAGATGTATTGTACTAGTTCATCAATCCTTTGTATTGGTACATCTACACACACAACTGTGTCACACAAGTCCCGAGCTATCACTTGTTCGCATGGGCTCACTTTATTCACTTCCACAGTCAATGGGGAGGCTACCAATCCCCATGGCTTGCTTGTGATTGGATGATGGCACCACACCACACACCATTGCCAATGAGGAGGAAGAAGGAAGATGCTTATATATACATACACTTCTATATGCATAGGGAGCTTTTTCTTAGCTTTGAGTTTAGTTCTAGTTTTACGTTGTGAGAGTTTTGTCTGGATTCTGAGAAGACAACAGGTGGATTTTCCATTTCATTTTCAAAGCTTATGTTGTATGTTTAATTCTTGTATTTGAACTTAGCATTTTGAAGCAAATCTAGTTAAATTTATTTCCTTCAATCTTCTTGTTTATTTCCGTTGGTTTAACAAGTTGTTTAAAATTGATTTTTGTTTAATGAGTTTTGCTTTTAGCTAAGTTTTGGTGCAATCCGAGGGATGATCCTCATTTGTAATCGAGCATTATTGATTCTCTAATGTGTTCTAACCATCTAGTATGCTATGTAGATGTTAAAAATCATTTTTGAAAACTAGTTTTTATGTGTACACTTTGATTTCTCCTTGACCTTTCTTTCGGCATGAGTAATACTTAGAGTTCATATATACAGCTAAGTATTTATATTCTTGCTTTCATTACCTACCTTCAAAACAACATGTTGTTCAAAACTAATTTTAGTTGAATATTCTCTATCCGAGTGAATTTGATTATGAGTTTGGATGAGATATAAATGATAATTAATAA